TGAGGCACTTGGGACAGACTAGGATCGTTGGGGGTGAGGCACTTGGGACAGACTAGGATCGTCGGGGGTGAGGCACTTGGGACAGACTAGGATTGTCAATTGTGAGGCACTTGGGACAGACTAGGATCGTTGGGGGTGAGGCACTTGGGACAGACTAGGATCGGCGGGTGCGAGGCACTTGGAACAAACTAGGATCATCGAGGGTAAAGCACTAGGGACAGAATAGGATTGTTGGGTATGAGGCACTTAGGACAGACCAAGATTGTTGGCTTCTCCAGGGGAGTTGAGCTTTATGAGAATGGATTACGTAACCGGAGGACCTGTATCCAAGGTGATGTCCGACTCGAGTATAAGATGTTCCCAGTTAGTAGGCAGTAGTGGAACTGTTCCTCTTTTCTGTTAGTACTCACATACACATGCCAGTTCCCTTCTGTCTTCTTGGCGTGCATCCACAGTAACGCACACTTTTGAGTGCGCGCACACACACACACACACAGACACAGACGTGGTATAATCTTGAATCTGGTTCAGATTTCATAGGGCAGGTTGGCAGAGCTGGGTTGGCATTTGTGCACCCCTCGGATCGCCTGGCAATAACAGCAAGGAAGTTGGCTGCGGAGGAATGTGATAAACGATCAGAGAGACAGCTGGGGTGGAGCAGAGTGAAGTAGTTCTCAGCTGCCCTAATGTTGCACCTCTAATTTCGTGAGATAATGCTGTGCGTGTAGTATGATCCATCACAAAAAGTAGTAATGCTACCTCAGTCTATTGTGTTTCTAAAGCATTTTAGTTTGCGCTATAAGTCCCTGCTCTGTATGTTTTACTAAACCGGAAATGTTAATCTTGGTCACTCGTGAGCATCGAAACCTGCACTGTGCACCCTCTGGTGACTGACAGCGGGAATGCACCCGGTACATTATTGCATGGATTGCACTGGAATTACAGCCTGTTTGTTCCATGAACTGCATTTTCTTCGAACTGCACAATGTTTTTTTTTTTTTTTTTTTCTCTCATGACCACGCCTGCCGATACTACCAGGATATTACTGTTCCCGCTGCTGGTCAGGCAGGTCTGACTGGTGCAACAGGGACACAGCGGGTTACTGGTTTAACAGGGTATGCATTCTCTCTCTCTCTCTCTCTCTCTCTCTCTCTCTCTCTATAAAAAAAAAAAAAAAAACGAGTTTATACTGTATAGACAACCATATTCCCAAAGTGCCGGTTTTTTCAGTGTCAGGGGGACCATTTCATGGGATTATAAATAGTAATTATAGGGTTTTGAAGGTGCCGGATTCTTTCTGTGATCTGTGTGGGAGGCCTGGGCTCTGAGGATAGGGCTTCTGCTCTGAAACCACATTCCCTTGACCTGGTGACATTATTGTACCATGTGACGTACTCAGTGCACCTTTGATGGGTGCCACATTACTCGTAAACACGGGAGCAGTAGTGGATCCATGTTATTAACATGCTTGTTTAGGTAACATATTGACATTTGTTTCAAAAGTGACTCGCAGCTATTCCGTTCATGGTACAACAGAAGGGCACTGTTTCTACCTCAAGGGTACAACAGGAAACTGAAATGGGAAACCTGGTTTATGACATCACTACACCACCTTCACTTCAACTATAAACAAGGAGCTGAATCAGCGTGTCGTTCCCAAAACTCTTGGATGGATGATCATCCTGTCACCATATTATGATCTTCATCTTGTAAAGCAGTATTTTTTAACCCAGTCCTCAGTGACCCCCAGACGGTTCACATTTTTGCTCCCTCCCAGCTCTCAGTAGGGAGCAAAAACATGGACTGTCTGGGCATCTCCGAGGACCGGTTTGAGAAACATTGTTGTAAAGGCTAAATCCCTGGATTTATTTTTAGAGCTGAAAAAATCCAGATCAAAAATATTAGTTTGATAGTATGCAGAGTCTTATAAAATGTTTGACTCTTAGTTTTGATTGTTCCAGTCTGGTTAAAGGTTAGACAGGAACGAAAATGAAATCTCATGATTGTGACAGGTTGTTAATCCTACTCAGACTGTCAGTGTTAACTGCAGTAGGAGGGTTAGCCTCTGTTCGCACAGGCCCAGTGATGTCATTTTGATTACCGCCCAGTATAACGCAGGAACCGCTAGGTCAAATAAAGCTGCTCAGAGCTGTAGTTTGCAGTAACCACACAAGAAGCCTGTACATGCTGTACAGAGCTGAGTTTGTCACTGAAAATAAGTCCAGCAGTCCCTGTGGTGCCAGTCACATGACTGTCCACTGACCAGCCATCAGCTGATTAAGCCACACTTACCCCAAAATGACAAATTCAGAAATTATTAATTATATTAATATTATTAATTATTCAGAAATGTTAGGAATCACCACTAGTGTAAGGTGTACAGAGAACTGGAAAATTACCAGTCCATACTGGTGGAAAGTGTGTCCACAGGTTGGTAAGGTGTAAAACAATAAATAAAGACATACAGACCAAATGATGGAATCCAGTTACATTCTCGGTTTTCTAGTCCAATAGGTACAGCCTAATTTACAATCGTAATGTAGCGAAATCAAATTTGTTGGTTTTATGTCATTGGGTCAAATGCAGGAGCTCAAGCTCAGTGCCTCTGCTGCTTGCATGCACTGGCTTCCTGTGATCTGATTGGTGGGAGCTGAGGAAGTGGGTCCCTCCGGGGATTTTCCTGGAGGAATGCCCAGAGAGCCCACTAGCACTAGATGGACACGTTACACAACATAAGCGGACAGCAATGATTAAGAAAATAACGTGTATTTACAGCGGTCATGTTTCATGCTTGTTAATAGGAGGCCCCACTGGGGCAGGAATGGAGATGTGTGCGTGCGTGCGTGCGTGCGTGCGTGTGTGTGTGTGCGTGCGTGTGCGTGTGTGTGTGTGTGTGTGTATGTGTGTGTGTATGTACTTACCCCACACCCCTCTCTGTGCAGGTATCGTGTTGATGTGCACGGTGCTGACCAACATCCTGGTGCTGATCTGCGTCGTCGCGGCGATGATGGTGATGTCGGGAATGTCGGCTATGGGGGGCCTGGCCGCCGGGAGCTTCAGCATCAACACTGCATACACCCCCTTCGAGGGCACCGAGCTGCAGCAGGTGCGCGACTTGGACATGAAGTACAACCAGATGCGATCGCCGGGCGTCTACGGGGGCGTGGCCTTCAGCCTGACCCTCGGCGTGCTCTCGCTGCTCTTCGTGGTGTCCGGGAACCGGCCCGCCCACCTGCTGCCCCGTAAGCTGCTCCTCGGGAAGTTCGTCTTCCAGGTGGTGGGCGCCGTCGCCTATGTGGTGGCGGTGGGCCTGTACCTGCACTTCGTCATCCAGGTGAACGCCACCGACGTCTGCACGATGCGCGAGCGCCTGTATGCCCGGCAGGGCTACACCTGGATGAACTGCAACGTAGGGGGCGGCGACGCTTCTGTGGCCCTGTTTGGCCTCATCACAGCTGGCCTATATGCCGCGGGCGCCGTCCTGACTGGCATAACCATCCGGCACGTAAGGAATTACCTCTCGCATATGGATGACCGCGGGAGGTACAGCCAGGAGGAGACCTCCCACCAGCAGGAGGCCCCGTTGCGATCTGACACGACATTTGTGTGAAGGCTGCTTTCTGAACTTTTTATTTTTATATCTTTGTACATACAAGAACGGCAAAACCTCGCCTTTATGCTAGTTAATGCCTTTTTTTCCATTTGGTTGAGCTGTTGGTTAAATGAATTTCACAGTTTAGATCATGTGATTGGGTTGGTTCATGATTCCCTGTAACGTTTGTCGTGGTTAGACTAAATGCGAACGAGCCAGTTCCTTATACAGTTCATTTTATTTGTAGAATTTATCAGAGTAACTTAGTTTTGGAATTTAATGAGTTATTTTTTACAGAATGAGGTTATTAATATTTGCTTATTTGCATAATTACTGATAAAACCAAAATAGTGAAATGTTTATCTCTATTCTTTCAAGGAGCAAAAATATTTTGAAGTACCCGTTTTACAAATGTATATGGATATGTGACTAAAAATGATATACCTTGATTTGATATGACATTATTATGGAATTACCTCAAATGAACAAATGTTTTTCTTTTTTTGCTTGTAGATTTAATAAGAAAAGATAACTTCCCTTGGTATCAGTAAAGTTCAACTGAACAAACTGATATTATTCTAGGTCTACCTCGAATTAACATGACAGGTTGACTCAATAAGACTCAGTGGTGTTTCTGGTTCACACCAACATAACTGAGCATAATTGTAGTGGTTATGACCTGTAGTAACTGCACCGTGACTTAACACAAACTCATCAGTACCCATGTAACAAACAAATCCAAATCCTTCTGTACTGCATTGTTATATTTTTAAGTGTATTTTAATCAGCAGCTCAGTAAAAGCAACACAGTTCCTTCAGAGGGACTGAGGGAGTCCCGACTGAAGGGGTTTCCAGGGTGATGGGGTTCAGGGAGACCCCCCCCACTGCAGGGGCTAATGTCACCATTTTATCGCTATTTTATTATACTGTGAACCTTCAGCTTTTAAGATTTTCCTCCTACTACATCTTAATAGTTATCTGAACATATGTATAACGATTTATTAAAGAGACTTTTTACTGAAACACAGTGCAGCTGACTGGTTTACGTTGGACTGCATCCTTCATGTTTAAATGGTGTGCCACCTTCAGGGAATATTTATAAAAAAAAAAAATAAAAAATTAACATCACTCCTTCAAAGGGGTCTGCTGCAGAGGACTTTGAAAATTAACTCGCGGAACAGGTCGCCTAAGAGCTCCCATTGGCATTACAGAGTGTGACATTCAGCTACATGGGAAACACGGATTCGTATTAGAAGGCATCCTGGGAAAAGAAGGTTTTCTGGGAGCCCAGGCTGGCTCCTCTTCCGGGAGGACAAGGCAGTTCTAAGAAAAGCACAGTTCAAAGAAGTCACTGATCTGGAAACAAATGCCTGGTCGTTCCGGTCTTTTGTGAATCTTTCACTTGAATTTTCCCCGCTGCTGCATCGTGTTCAGACGGCAAAATGATGGACTCTCCAAGATTCTGGAATTTCGGTATGCCTTCCCCACATTTATGCTAATAAATGACACCTCCCCCCGCAGGTTCAGGGAAAGGGCCTTTCCAGAACTTTCCGCTTAAATGGTATGGCTGCCCCTCGGCTGGGTTTAAGGTCATTTGAGGGTTTCTCTGGTTCAAACAACAGATGGTTTGTCTGGCTATACTGAAGTCATGTCCACCCACTTCCTGTGCAACACTTGCATTACAATGCATGCACGATCCCTTTAAAGTGACCAATTAAATCATGCAGGTGATCAAAACACCACGGACAGCTACATCAGCTCCTATTAACGCTACCTGCCTTTAACCTTGTCTCCTTTGTAAACACACCCACTGATCTCAGTTACAGTGTCTTGGCAAATGCTGGGAACTTTGGTATTGGGGTAGGGTGTCACTTGTATGCTCTGAATAGTTACTGGGAATTGCCTTGGTGATGTAATGCAGTACATTTCCTGCAAGGGGCAGCAGAGCACAGGCCACTGAACTGCACGTCTTCAGTCACTCGAGGTCACCTGAGCTCAGAGCAGTTTTAGGGCCAAGGATGTGTCTGGCGCAGGACCTCGGCCTTCAATGCTGGGGGCCTGTTCATGGCGCAGGGTGCAAAACCTCAACAAAACAATCCCTCCCAGGCCCCAGGGGGTGTCCCCCAACGAATGGCGCTGAAACCAAATTTTATTTCGTAAATCTTAGATTTATTATAGCAAAAAAGTAAATCTTCTGTGTGTCGCACTTGGATACAATTGCTAGTAGATAAATCTCATACAGAGAGTGTCATGCTGGTCAGGGTGGAATTGGGGGGGGAGGGGGTGGTTCAGCACTGATCCATGCCCCCCCCCCACACACACATCCTCCTTATGGCCACTGGCATCAATCATCACTACACAACATTCATACTATGTACAATCATTGGGGAAAAGAGGGCAGAAAAATCAACTTTTTCTCTCAGAGAAGATTAGTACAGTGACTAAGTCACATTTATCAGTAGGCAACTCCTAGGAGTTAGTCTGTCACAATTTCTACACATTTCTATGACTTTAAACGGCCAAAAAGCCATGATTCACTGAAGAAATGAACTCACCACCTACAATAATTCAGTGTGGTATTGTCGCACAGATACTTTATCACAAATCAAAGACAGCGATCGGAATTTTTTTTTTTTAAAAGTGCTCTTCGGCATAATTTCTCACTGTAATACGATATGGTAAAAATTATATTAACTTTTTAACCTTGTATGTGAAGCTGTAATGCTTGGAAAATAGTGTCGGGGGAAAATAAACAGCATGTTTGGTGGGTTAGCTGTATAAAAGGTTAAAATAAGAGAGCGAATGGTCTGGCTGGCGTGGCACTCCTCTGGCAGCGCGTCTGCCTCACAGCGGCGTGTTATAGTAGTCAGGAGGGACTTCGGCTGGCTGGGCGCGTTGCTGCTGCTGCTTCATGATCTCCTTCACCTCCTCCTCCAGCTCTGGGGGGATGATGAACTGATCGTCGGGGTCCAGCTGCGCTGGGGCAGCGAAGTACCCCCCCGATTTCTTGGCAGGGGCGTCGGCCACCACCTCGATTAGGTTGTGGCTTCGCTCCTGCGGTGCCACCGAGCCGTTGGCCCGCCTCCTGCCCATGGTCCGCGTGGAATGATCCCCACCTTCAGCTGGGCCCGTTACCTCAGCAACCGAATCCACCTCACCACCACCATCACCACCACTAGGAGGCTCCGTTCCATCGGCAGAAGCCCGGGAGACAAGGGAGCGTGCCCGGCCACGCAGGCAGTGGACGTCGGCCTCCACCTCCACGCGGCTGCCGTTGGAGAAAACGCCGGCGATCGGCTCCTCGTCCTCACTGTCTAGCCCGTTGTCGGAGAGGGCGCTGGAGAAGGTGGCGCTAGAGAGTTGCCGCTGGAAGGAGTCGGCTGGGCAGACGGGGTGCAGGGTGCAACCGCCACCGCCGCGCAGCTCTTGTGTGAATGGCGCCCCCGTGTGGCCGTCATGCGACAGCGCGCCCTGTTGCAATTCGTCCGAAGCCGTGGATCCCACCTCGCTGCTCATCTCCGACGCGGACACCTCGCTGCTAGCCTCGCTGCAGGGTGACGGCGTCGGGGGGGCGGGCAGGGAGTCGCGGGCCGGTGCCGGGAAGAGGCTGGGGCTGGGGGGGGCGGGCAGCTCGCGGCAGCAACAGCAGCAGCAGTCCTCAGCCACGCTGAGCTGCACCACTACGGCGCTCAGGCTGTCGCTGCAGCCGTAGGCCTGCGCAAGCGTGCAGAGTTTCTTGGCGGCGGCGAGCGCGTCGGGGACACTGCGGACGGCCTCCACCGCCTCCGCCGGCGACACGCTCTCCCAAAGGCCCCGGCTGCCCAGCACGAAGAACTCGTCCCGTGCTGTCAGCGTCACCGTCTGCACGTGGGGTCGCGGGATCACTGACGGATACAGGAAGGAGTAGCCCATGATCCTCGTGGAGTCCGTCACTCCGTTCACTTTGTTGTCCTGGAGGATTAAAATAAAAGGGGATGTGAGGTTACTGGTAACCACCCCCCCCCAACCAAACTTAACCATATCACCCTCAGGTTTAATGGTCCAACGTGCTGCCCCAATCCAGAGCTGCAGGATTTCGGTACTAGGGGATTATCCAGGTCAGGTAATGAACAAAAGGAGACCATCTGCCCAGATGGACTAGCGAGCTGCTCAGTTATTCCTGCCTCCCAGAATACTCTGGGTGATTTTCCCTTATATATATACGGATCCCACAACCAGCAACACTTACATCCCATCTTCTTTAGCAGACACCATCCAAAGTAACGTACATTTTTGAGAGGAGTAAAGGTCAGCCAGAAGCTCCAGGGCCCAACTGTGACATTACTGTGTCGCGTCTGGAATTTAAACCAGCAACCTGCTGATCACAGACACGGCGTCGTAACCCGCTGAGCCAAACACCACACAGCCGTACCTCCGTGACGATGGCCTTGTTCAGCCGCACTCTGTGATACTCCTCGGCCACACCCACGTTGTGCACCTCCGACAGGGGGAGGGGCTTGCCGTCGCGGCACAGCACGGCCTGGCACTTGCCCACGTTGGCGGCGGTCAGCGTGAAGCAGCCCCCCGGCTCCGCAGGGTCATGGCGGATGTGGCAGAGTGCGGCTGAGCCGCCCAGCTTCTGGCCTGCCGTGCCAAGTTTCCTGCACACATACACACACACACACACACCCGGGTAAACCCTAGGAGGAACTTGTCTTCTCACTTTCTTTCCCTCTTTGCTGCTTCTTGTTCCATTTTCTGTAAGCAATGTATTGGCTAGAAATTCTGGATCCACTGACAAAATGTTACATTCAGCCACATTTTGCCAGGTTGGTACATTTTGCCAAGATGGGTCCCCTATAAACTGCTGGGGCCCCTGGATCGTCCAGGGTAACCTATGTTCCTCTGGTGCCATGGACTGACTCACACTCTTGCCAAGTGCCATGGGGCAGCTGTGTTGTGAAAGGCGCTATCTAAGAATAAACGGAACTGAACATCATGTCACCATAAAGTGTGTGTGTGCATGTCTGAAGTGTGTGTGCGTCTGTAGTGTGTCTGCGCGCCTGCGTGTGTGTGTGTCTGTAATGTGTGTGTGTGTCTGTGTCTGTGTATGTATCTGTAATGTGTCTGTGTGTGTGTGAGAGAGTGTCTGTGTGTGTGTGTGTGTGTGTGTGAGAGAGTGTCTGTGTGTGTGTGAGAGAGTGTCTGTGTGTGTGTGTGTGTGTGTGTGTGAGAGTGTGTCTGTGTGTGAGAGTGTGTCTGTGTGTGTGTGTGTGTGAGAGAGTGTGTCTGTGTGTGTGTGTGTGTGTGTGTGTGTGTGTGTGTGTGTGTGTGCACATGCACACACATCCAGGCCGTACCTCTGCATGACCAGGAAGGTGCTCCCCATGTAGTCGTCCTGGCTCNGTGTGTGTGTGTGTGTGTGTGAGAGTGTGTCTGTGTGTGAGTGTGTGTGTGTGTGTGAGAGAGTGTCTGTGTGTGTGTGAGAGTGTCTGTGTGTGTGTGTGTGTGTGTGTGCACATGCACACACATCCAGGCCGTACCTCTGCATGACCAGGAAGGTGCTCCCCATGTAGTCGTCCTGGCTCTTGCCCCGGTGCAGCTCCTCTGCCAGCACGTCGCTCATGGTGCACTGCAGCAGGTATGGCACCTCCACGTTGCGGTCGCCATCGAAGACGCCAAACAGGGCCTCGCGGCTCTCGCGGAAGTGACTCACGGACAGCGCCGCCACACATGGCCTGCAGGGAGAGGGCACAGCTATGTAGCTTCTCAACTACTAACCACAGGCAATCCGCATTTTTGCTCCCTCCAAAGCTCCCAGCCAATTAAAAACAGCGAATATCTGGCATGCTGGTATGCTGGGAGGGAGCAAAAATGTGACCTGTCTTGGGCGGTCCAGAGAACTGGGTTTACACTATTACCCTTAGTTTCAATTTGATTAGTTTTAACTGAAGGATGAGGCTAAGGTTATTAAGGATATAAAAATTTACAACCAGGAACATGGAGTTATGTGTAATAAAACAAATGTCACTTTATAGAATTCGCCATTTCTATGAGAAACACATTGCATCAAAAGCCTCAACGCCCTAATGAGACTCATTTCACACTCTAATGGCTTTCTTCTGCACAGAGCCTCATGCCAGCAACTCCTGGGAGCTCAATGACTTCCTCCCCGACAGCAAATCCAAGAGGGCGACGGCTTCGTCCCGACAGCACCCAGCTCTCCATTTGACAACTTTTATTATTCTCACCCTCAATAACTCCATCCCTCCATCCATTTTCTATCACTTTCTTGTCCTATTCAGTGTTGGGGGGGGGGGTCCGGAGCCTATCCCGGAGGCGACGGGCATAAGGCAGGGAACAACCCAGGATATGGTGCCAACCCATCACAGGGCACAGTAACACACTATTCACTCACCCATGCTCACCATGGGCAATTTGGTAAACTCCAGTTAACCTCAGCATACTGGAAACCCCACAATGACACGGGGAGAACATGCAAACGGCACACATAGAACCACCCATAACTCAGATGTAAAAAAAAATCATTAATTTTTTTAATTTATTAATTAATGACCAAGGAAGCAGAGCGGGAGTGTTGCTAGGATATTAATACACTCCATAGCCCCCATTCTCAGACTGAGGGCATGGTTATTAAAACATCTGAGCTAAACAAATTATTCAGACGTCATTTGGATTCATGCCGGAGCTTAGTGATGCCTCTGGTCCAGAGGCTATATCACTTGAGAACCACATCACAAGACTGAGCATATATGGGTCACATGTGGGCGGGGTTTGCCGTTGGTACGGCCGAAAGCTGGACTCACCTGTTCTTCACACCCGAAGCCTCTGCATAGCCGTGGCTCCATACTGCGGGGGCCCGGGGGCCCTCATTTGGCGAGTGGGTGGCAGCAGACGGGTCGATCCGGAAACAACGGATGTTGCTGTAAGAGGGGATGGAAGAAAATGCCCCAGATCACGCTTTTGCCAAAAAACAGAAACGGCTTGGCCTCAAACAAACAAAACATGTTACACAGTGTAAAACCCTTAACAGCAGAAACTGCATTCCTACAGCTGTCTGATATGTTCTCATGGCACTCATCTTATTTTCCAAATATCTAATGGCCCATTTTAGCAGAATCTGTGTCATTTCGAGCTGATCTCCTCCGCATACAGGCCTTAGCTACCAGGTATGTGGACGCAGAGAGCCTGTTGTTATGAGGTAATCACTTCTGGACAAACATGGACTAAGGCTGGAATGACAGCGCCAGTAAGGCCCCCCCTCACAGGACACCTTTCCATGGGCTAACAACGGTCCACCCCTTTACAATGGCTGACAGAGAAAGTTCCCCCTCAGTGGAACCCCCCTTCACTGGCTAACAAAGACCTGCCCTCTTACATGGGTCAGATATCGACCCCCCCTCCACTGGCTAACAAAGACCTGTCCCCTTACATGGGTCAGATATCGACCCCCCTCCATTGACTAACAGAGACCTGCCTCCATGGGTCTGATACAAACCCCCCTGAGAGGACCCCCTCCTCCAGCAGTCTCTCTTACTTGAGAAGTTCCAGGGTCTTGTGGTCCAAGGAGAGACGGGGATTCCCAGTCAGGTCCAGTTCCTGCAGCTTGGGGGGCAGGTTCTCTGGGAGGGTGACCTCACTCAGCTCATTGCAGGCCAGGTCCACACACTGCCGGTGGGTGGGTGGGGGGTGGAGGGTGGATGGAGGTTAACACACATCCCCGAGTACAAACCTCCCTCTCTCTCTCTCTCTCTGACACACACACACACACACACACACACACACACAACCTCAGGGACCTCCTGTCCTGATGACTAAATGTTTTCATCATCTGCTGAACAGCAGAGTGAGTCATGACCCCTCTGGTCAGTCCTATTCTCATTCTGCTATTTATCCATATAGCGTCTTGCCCAGCTAACCCTGTATGAAAAGGAACTTCAAACAGACAGACTCCAAAAACAGTTAATTAGAGCCAGTTAAAGTTATTTAATTAACTTAAAATTAAAGGCAGAGGACAACAGTGGTGAGTAGTATTGAACTCAAAACAGGGATAAAGAGAAATGCTTCATTGCTACAGAATTTTTCAGGCTGCAGTTAGCAGTCAGCTGGGATTTCTCACAAGTCTGCTACCATGTGACTCAAATGGAGACTTTCCATTGGCTGGAGACCAGGTCAGAAGTGTAGGTGCGTCTGTTAAGGGTCATCCAAGTTCGCGCAGTGCCGCAGATTACAGGGAGGGTTTTATGAGCTTAACGCTAACTGAGCTGAACACCGGTCAAATCAGGACGGCATCGTGGAGCTTTTCTCTCGCTAACACAGGCATGCTTCGGACACCCTCTCACCTGCTGTGGACCCCTGGAGGCTGGGATGAACTCACCTTCACCTCCATGAGCTGCATGACTTCGGGGAAAACCTCGATGCAGTTGGAGTGAGCCAGGACGGTGTGCATCCGCCGGCAGTTCAGAATGGTGGTGGGCAGGGCCTTCAGCCTGTTCCCACTAAGGTCCACCTCCTCCAGCTCTTCCAGTTTGGCCATTTTACTGAGCAAGAGAGAGTGAGGGAAAGACTTCCTTAAACTTCTCATAAACTTCTAGGTATGTGGTAGTAACCATAACAAATCCATTATGTCCCTAGATCAGTGTTTCCCCACCCAGTCCACGAGGACCCCCAGGCCAACATGCCCACACCAGGTCTTCGAAGTTCCTGACTGTCTGGAAGCTGGGAGGGAGCAAAAATATGGACTGTCTGAGGGTCCTCTAGGACTGTGTTGAGAGACATTGCTCTAGATGTAAGGGTAGGTGTAGGTGTACCTGGCGGCGAAGCTGTTCAGCTGGTTGTAGGCCAGGTGTAGCACGCGCAGGTGGCAGTGTCCCGTCAGCAGGGGAACGCACTTGTCTGTCAGCCGGTTATTGGTCAGGTAGAGCTCTTGCAGGGCACTGCGATTCTCCTCCGAAAGGCAGGCAGGAGGCAAGCTCTCCAGCTGATTGGCCGAGGCATTCAGGCACCGTAAGCTGATAGGACAAAATGGGATGAGTCACAATGATGCTTCATCGATCGACAAATTCAAGGAAGGCATGGGTGGGTGTCTTACCTGTCAGCCTTCAGGAAGAGGTTGGACGGGAGCTCCGTCAGCTGGTTGTGCTGGACGTCCAGCACCTCCACCGGGGTACACTCTAGTCGCTCAGGGAGCCGGCACAGAACGTTGTGTCCCGCCAGCAGTTTCCTCAGACTGCTGCTGCAGAAGAGCCTGGGAGCCAGGAGGAAGCCATTTAGAGGCCCGAAAACTAGGGTCACATCTCACAGACCTGTCCTAACTGGCTATGTAAACTACACCACAACATTTCACCGCTGTTGTCATGGCAATAAGATGGCCCACAAATATGACCAGTTCCAAGAATATTAGCCTGGTTGATGTCCTGGAGACACAGTGAATTTCAGAAAAAGATAAAGCAGAAAGTGGTGCCACTTCAGCATGTGTGGTTTCTCGATTTTCTGTGACTTTTCCCGTCACGTTTAGCAGATACGCAGCAATGCATGCTGGTAGCTGGAGTCCGGATCAGCATCACAGAGGCATCTGTGTGGACTAGTGGAGTGAGGCATATCACTAAGGCAACAGAAGGTAAAGGTACTTTAGAGGCCTGATAAAGGACAATCAGCTGTACAATGCAAACCGGAAACCGGAAACCCACCGGCTCCGAACAAGTCCACGGAACCTCCTATCCATACGGCGAAAACAGAAAACGTAAAAAGAACAAGGCAGTCCTGCCAGAAAACTGCACAGCTGAGATCGACCCTCCCGACACACCAGAGGGGGAAACGATGCCCTGCATATCTGTAACAAGAACAGATCGGGCTGGGGGGGGGGATGGGAGCAGATACATGCGAAATTCACGGGGACTGACAGCGTGCTGCTCACAGACGGGCCAATCGCAGGAGGCTCTGCTGAGGGGGTCAGAGAGATAGGACAGGACAAAGAGCCAATCAATCAGGCCTCCTAAGGATCCGGGCCCAGCCGGACAAGTACGAGTGCAGGACTGAAACAACAAAGTCGTCATCGGTCCTCTTCAACATGACATGGGTGGGGAGGGGAATGAATTGCCTCACACTAGCCACCTGTCCTCCTCTTCTCAAGACCTCATTGTACTGGCCGGTACCCTTCTGTGACCCCTTTTGTGTGTGGATGGGAGGGGGCAACCGCTGTTTGTCAAAGCCCTTGTTTTCCAATCCCCATGACTACGGCCCTGAGGGGTGGGGGGGGGGTTGTGAAGCCTCTTATTCTGTCAGTATACAAGATGGTGAGCCTCAGCTGCTCCACAGTCCATGTTACAGTGATGACAGAACCTTCTAGAAAGAGCTGTGTCCCCCTCTTATTGAGAGGGAGGTAGTTCTTTAAGAAGAACCAACCATTTATGCATCAGTGACAAATGACTGAATCTTCAGATAATGGACAGCCACTCCACACGCACACATACAGAGGACCCTCTATTTGTCTTTCAGGCCTGACTCACCGGCAGGGCAGCTCACTAATGAGGTTGTGTCTGATGTCCAGCGTCTCCAGCCTTTTGCTGCTGCTCAGCCACTCTGGCAGACTCTCCAGCCTGTTCCTAAAGAGGCGAAGTGGGTGGGATGAAGACAGAGAGTAGGCGGAGTCAGTTAAGGCTTCTATTATTATGATAGCCAGGTGTAATTTTTTCCCCAGCTGTGCTGGTCTCACCTTGAGACGTCCATGTAGGTGAGGCTGTCTGGGATGGGGTGAACCTCCAGCTGGCTGAGCTCTGTGCGAGAGAAACAAACACGGAACCCTGAGTGTGGAGCCAGGAGCCTGTGCCAAGACGCAGAGATGCAAGGCAGGGGGCCCCCTGGAGGGGATGCCAGGCCATCACAGGGCAGGCAGGCAGACACACACACACACACGCACACGCACACACACAGATAGTATCGGGAAATTCGGAGATGCCAATAATAGTGTCATCAAATATCTACAACACAGAAACTGGGGGTGTTGCAGCTCCTGCATGTACGCAGGCGATGGCACCAAGGCGCACTCACCATTGGCAGAGGCGTACAGGCCTTTCAGCATAGCGCCCCCCACCCTCAAGCTGGCCAGGTGATTGCGCTCACAGTGCAACACTTCCAGCATGGGTAGGGACATGACATTCAGCTCCGTCAGCCGGTTGTCCCGCAGGTCCAGGTGGGTCACATGCTCCAGGAAGTCTGGCTCGTCCACAATCACCTCTCGGATTCTATTAAGCCTGGGGGGAGGCAGTACAGTACCATTATCAATGGGTTCATTTAACCAAACCCAAGGTCACAGTATAAGTGACAGGTCCACCCACACCCAGCCACACACACACACACACGCACACCCACCCATGGGTTTCTTTCTCTGGACATCTCAGCACTTCTCTCTGCAGTGTAATTAACGACTGACCCCAAATCAAAACTAAACACCAACAAAACTAAAACCAATGGAAACTGTCTTAGCAGCTTTAAATTTCCGGAAATACAGTGAAAGGCCTAATGTTCCTACTTCTTTTTCAGCCTAATAAAGAGAATGAGAAGAAAAGTTTAACATGAAGACAGAGACAGACAGGAAGACAGACGGGATACACACACACACACACACACACACACACACCAGTGCACCCAGAATGCACCAGTAGCCAATGAGACCACAAGCTGTGAGCTGGATCCCACCAGAACACTTGCCCTGTAGTGAGTTCACTAATCTCCTTTCAAGTCATTATGACATTTACCATTTCTGGCAAATGGTTCCACACATGGAGACATGAGAGGCCAAGAATCTGCCAAACAAATATTCCAGCCAGAAGGAAGAATATATATATATTTATTTATTATGGAGACTACAGAGGAGCTCTGGTGCACGACTCCCAGCAAGCTCACTAAGTGAAACACTGTCCAGCCCATGGACTCGGTGTCCCAGACAACCTACAATAATGACACACAAACTCTCAGAGGTCCTTCAGCGGGGCTAAGGTTCAGTCGAGGCTGCCATAATGTCAAAGTTTTTTCACCCACAATTAAACCCCCCTCCAACACCACCCCTCATCCATCCGTGAAGCTCTCTGCAAAGCTGAAGTTCCGTGGAACTGCGGATACTGGTTGCAATCCAGCTTCAGGTAAAGCCTGAGAGCAAATTATTAACCTGTAGACCTCCAGATTAGAGGTCTCTCATACAGGTGGGTGTGGGGGGGGGGGCTGTTTCTGGGGAAATTTGAAGGAATACAGCCTGGAAGGTAGGCATCTATTTGAGCCAAACTTTGAAGAGCCAATAAACAGTTAGGGATAGAGGCTATGAGCTCTTGTAGGTGGACGTGGCAGGACAGAACACCTGACTGATGGAGGGGCAACTGAAATATGAGGGGGGGTGGTCTGGAGGGGACAGTCTGGTGGGACACCTCTTATGCTTTCCTTCTCCGTTCAAAAGGGCCAAGCGGTTTAAAGATGTGATTAACCCGTCTTATTAATTAATTAACCCAAATTAGAAACAGCTCCCTTGGATCTCCATACCACCTTTCAGTGAAGACCGAGTACCTGAGGTCCACATGCTTGACCCGGAGCCGGCGGAGGAGCCGCAGGGGAAGGGAAGCCAGCCGGTTACCCGCCATGCACAGCCTCTCCATGGCGACCAGTCGCTCCAGTGTCACCGGTACCTCGCAGAACTCATTGAAGGACAGGCCGAGGTAGGAGAGCTGTGGCAGGTCGCCGAGTTCTGCCGGCAACACCGACAGGCAGTTCCCATCCAGGAGGAGGGCCTGCAGGCTGCGTGGGGGAGCACATTGTTACATCATTACGTTACTAATGACACTATTTCTTTGAGCGACATCCCAATAAAACATAGAGCAGTTGCTGTTACATTGATTAGACACCGTCAGGCAGGGATATTTAGGGCGCTTTTCCACCGCACAAAGTACGATACTTTCGGTACGGTACTTTCGCTTTTCCATTGACTTCCGGTCGAGTACCAGTACCGAAATCTCGAGTACCAAAAGTGCCAAACCAGTTGGGGTACTTCTTTGGTACTTCGGTACTTTGGGGTGGGACTTGCAAACGTATTTGCTTTCGATTGGTTATGCAAATAGCCTGCCGCTGAAACACAAAATACAACCGCCATCTTTTGAAACACACAGCGAACAGAGCGATCACAGCGAGAAACAAAATAAAAAGCAGTAGAAACAAAAATATAAAAAAGTAAAATGGAAGGATGGACAAACAAGGAAACACAGGCTTTAATCGCCATATGGTCGGATGAACAGATCCAGTGGGATTTGGATGGCACGACTCGAAATAAAAAAGTTTTTGTCGTTCCGAGCAGTTCAGTTTCCCTATGTTTCCCCTGTCGCGCGCTGATTTGTACACGGTTTCACTGTTGTTTTCATGTCTTTTTACGAAGCTCTTGAGGTAAACAAGCCATATATTAATTTTAAAACATCACATGCCTTTTCTATGTTTTTTGTTTTTACAGATAATAAATGAAATTACTTAATTCGCTGGATAGAGATATTTCTTGATGAAAACGGTATAGTTCTTATGTTCTTATAAGACTATATTATGTGTGACGATCTACTGTATTCACATGTAATAATGTACCTGAGTCATTTGCAGACAATTCACATACCTCTTTGCTTTAATATTAGGGGAAACATTATTTCCTGATAGACAGGAGAAACATAGGTAAACTGAATTGCCCGGAACACTGTAATACCAAGCCGCTTGGAAGAAATGGGGCACATGCGAAATACCGAACAATGCCGCTTGAAAATCAAAAAACATAATTAAATAATTTGTTTGCTTTCAAAAGACTGAATTAGCAGTAAGCTAATTCTTACTGCTTTGATCGGCTTAGCCAAAGTAAGTGTACCTACGTAAACGTAATTGATGGCAGCATGATTTGGATTTTACTGAATCTTATACTGTGATAGAAGATGACATAACAATAAACCGCATTTTCCAGCCTCAACTGTTAGTTTTAATTTTGGGCTGTCAGTCAGGGGCGGTCACTGATGATGGTACCATTTTTTTACACCAGTGGAAAACCGACATGAAAGAAGTACCAAACTTTCGGCACTTTATGGAAGTACCTGGTGCGGTGGGAAAACGCCCTTAGTCTTGGGGGGGGTCATTCAAAATTTGCTGAGGGGCGTGAGAGCTGAGTGGACGTGGTAGAAGCACAGCTAAGAGGTGAGTAGTTGTCATGGGGAGATGATAACATGATTTCATTCTCAAAAGGAGCGCAAGCGACGCTTTTATGGAAAAAAGCCGGCCTCCCGTGAGCAGATGGTACGGGGCGACCATTATTAGAAGCCCTTTAAGAAAGAATACAAGCTATTCCAAGAGCAGATTGGGCCTTCAAATCTAATTAAACTCTCCTGGAGGGTTACGGTGAAGCTTAATAGCTTTTTCATCCCATTAGCATCACCACTCAGCTAGCACCGACGCACGAGTTCATCACGTAATGTTCTACTCTCACTTCATACTATGTATGCCTTGGTTCTCTTTTCTTATTTCTGATGGAGGCGCTAACCACTCTGACTACAGTAATCCCCCACCTATCGTGGAAGTTACGTTGCAGACCCATCAGCGATAGGTGAACATCCGCGATATAGAAAGACCATATAAATAAACACTTTTTAAAAAAAAAATTTAAGCCTTAATATACCCCTCCCACACGCTTTAAACACATGTAAACTTATTAAAACACACTTTGTAAACACATATGATATGTGGATATCAGGCTAAGGATATGAGTAACATAATTCACAAAAAGTTTGCTCACAACAATCGGACCACAAGCAAAGTACACAATATGCAGAGAACTGTGATGTGTCAGGGAAAAATCCGCGATATAGCGGGAGCGCGATGGCTGAACCGCAATATAGCGGGGGATCTCTGTATATGGGGGTAATACTAAAGACAACTTCTGCATCTAGACTTCTGTAATGAATTCAAGAGTTTTTTGCAGCAGTTACCAAGCTGCCCATTGTTCTCAGGAAGGTAAAACCCACATGGAGTTGGAAATAACTTACACATTGAGTTTCAGTTCTGCTGAGACAAGAGTAGCCCCATGTCTACTTTTCATGAACATGATGTCACTTGTGACCAATCATCAGGTCACAAACCAAGGGCGTAGGTTTGGTTTCAACACTGGTAGAGACCAAATCAGCCTGAGACCTCCTGCCACTGTAAACATACACAATACTCCCACAATAATAATTGGGGCCGTCTGTATCCAAATCTATGCCCTTGCCAGAAATACTGCTTGTTTGAGTCACAGCATTTCCTTGCACTTGGCAACCATCTTGCTCCGACTTACTTGCGCATGGCCCCTATGGCGCAGGGCACAGAGCTCAGGTAGTTGCAGGATAGGTTGACCTCCGTCAGGGTGCTCATGTCACAGATGGCCAGGGGAAATTCACCAAGACGGTTACTAGAGAGGTTGAGGCTTCGGAGCTTGGAGAACCTGGAGACAGGAGGGAGAGTGAGGATGAAACAGGCAGCCAGATTGGCTACCCGGGAGAGTGAGGATGAAACAGGCAGCCAGATTGGCTACCCGGGAGAGTGAGGATGAAACAGGAGGCCAGATTGGCTACCCGGGAATCATGTAAGATGCTGCTAAGGAAGATCCCTTGGCTGTCACACTTTGATCGCTGGGGCAGAGAAAATCCAAAGGAATTCCCAGGCTATGCTGTGTTAAACACCACAGGGTATAAGAATAATTACAGAGCTATACCCAAAACCTGCGATCTGTAACTGGGGAACGTCCAGGGAAGAACCTAGAAACCCTTCGTTTTACTAAAAGGCAGGCCCTTTGGGGACCAATACACTATCACAGAGAGAAGACATGTACCAAGGCATGGCAATCTACATGGTCCTTTTTCGGCCATGAGACTCCCTGCCCTCTGAGGTGTAACCTACCTGGGTTATGAGAAACTATCAGACCCTGAAGAAACATCAGGTACACCATTCAGTGCATGTCTGTAAATGACACACACGCTCAGACCCAAAGGTCGCGTCAAGTAAACCGTGGAGTATTTTCTTCCGTGCCAAAGATACTGCTGCTTTTACTGTAAAATTCTAGCATTCACTTTACAAAAATGGGTAAAATCAATCATCACAGGAGGGGGGAAAAAGCAGAACCAAAACTTCAGACTGTAGAGTTGGACTTTTAATTAAAAGGGAAAAGCCATTTTCCTGGAAGAACTCCACGATCACTGAAACAAAAACGTAATCTGCCCATTTCCGGGCTTGGCTGAAGGTGGCCAGAAGAACTGACAAAGGTCTCTCTCTCTCACACACACGTTTGTATTCAAATCTTTGTGGGGATTGTCCATTCATTTCTATGGGGAAAAACCCCTCATCCCAACAATGATGACCTTAATCCCTACCCAGCCCTAATCTTAACCAAAAGTAACACAATAATACAAGCCTGCAGTCACAGATTTTTATAAAACTGAGTTTCTCCTTGTGGGGACTGAAAAGGTGGCCCCCACACTGTGAAAACAACAGGTTTTTAGCAAATTGTGGGTACATTTGGTCCCCACAATATAATGTATACATCACACACACACACACACACACACACACAGATCACTTGGAGCTGAATGTTAATAGATAAGGGCAGGTGGTTGGGATCTTATGTTATGAGAGACGGCCCAAGGGGAAAATCCCAGTGTTTGTCCTGCACCTACAAGAGACCTCAAATGAAAGCTTTATCGATTCATTCTGTGTATCAAAAGGTCATAGTGAGTAAGATAAGATATCGAATCGTACCCTTCACATTCCAGCTGTATTCGGGGGGGAGGGATGGCTCAGAGGGTTGGTAGCTGTCACTATGATTGGCAGAGTGATGTCACTATTAAGCTCCTGAGCAGGGCCCTTAACCCACAATTGATCTAGTGACTGACTGACCCTGCTTTCTTCAAAAAGATATCTTTGGATAAAAGAGTTTGAATACATAAAATGTATGGGAATGCTGATTTTGTATCATAGGCAAACACTCCATTCTCCAGGTGCACCTTGCATGTGGCATCATCTCGGAGTGATGAAAGGACAGCTCTCTGTATGCTATGGCGCTGTGGAGCGGTTTCACGTTTTTATTTCTGTTTTTACACTGTTTCCATCCCATTGGCTCTGCCATAATCCAGAGAGGCAGGCTGTCCGCTTCCCCAAGGTTCCCGAAGCAGCGTGCGGCCAAGCGGACGCCACGGTCCCTGAGAAACAGAAACGGAGCACATACTCGCGCCGATGCGATAAGCACCGGAATCCATCTACCTTTCAGTTGTGCCTCCTGCTCAGGTTTATGGGAATGGAGTGAAATGGTAAAACTATTTTTATGCTGAAAAGTGCAGTTGTTGTTAAGAGGGAGGTAATCCAGCACTATGCTGCTACACGGGAAAATAAGCCTCTCTGTAAAAAGTCGGGGGACCAACTCCATAGCTCAGCTGCGACCCAGAATGTCACTAAACCACAGGAATCAGCTGGAAAGGATGAGGGGGGCGGGACCCAAACCCCGATGCAAGTGGCCAGTGCGGACTGGACCTCCAGGAAGCCCTCCCCCGACAATCCTCCGCCACCGCTGTGTGCTCAGAGGTCGCTCTTGGCCCTCACACTTACATCTACCGACAGCAGCTAAATCGGGCTGCCTAGAAGCAAACAAAAACGGTCAATGTGCAGCAAAAGATGACAAAAGCTGCGCCGCCATCGCTGGGAGTGGAGGTGAAGTGCTTTTTACTGGCCCCTCGGTGGATTAGCCTTTTTGAGAACAAGCTTTGAACTAGAATGTGGCAGAAATTAAATTAGAAAGCTCACTCTTACTATTTCAGCAACACACACACACACACACACACACACACTTCCTGCACTGAGTCAGGGGAGCAGCTGTTGCATTCAGGGAGAGCTTAAGACAGACTTGGAATGCTTTCAGGGGATTATGGAACTAAAACAGAATAACAGGAGCCCCACCCCCCACCCCCCCGCCCCACCACCCCCATTCCCCCACAGGGGTTGGTTGTCATGACAGCGTCTGAGGGCCCGGGGCCCCACCTCTGAAGCTCGGTGAGGCTCTTGCCAGGTGCCATGAAGTTGTGCTTGAGGTTGAGGTGTGTCAGGTCCTGGCTGTAGAAGAGGTTGTGTGGCAGGCGCTCGAGGCTGCAGCCAGACAGGTCGACAGAGCTGATTCGCTGGGACACCATCTGCAGAGGTGGAGGGGGGGGCAGTTCACCAAGGGTTACCGAGGCCCAACCGTGCCCTCCCCTACTGTCTCCCAGCAACCGAGTAATTATTTTATTAACGTGTCATCGTCCATTGCTCTTCCGAGCAGAGGTTAGGCCTCAGCGCCCGCCCTCACCTTGGCGGCCTGCCGCTGCCAGCGCAGGTGCTCAGTGAAGCTCTCCAAGTTGACGTAGTAGGTCTGACTCTGGGGACCCGAGGAGCTGAAGGCCAGGCAGTGACTGTGCTTCTTCACCTCCTCCACCTGCCAAAATCACAGGCAGAGAGAGAGAGAAAAAAGTAAGAACATTACACTTACATCATTTTAAAATGATAATCATGCCTCGGCTCCTGCTGTTACTATGCCTGTCCTCTAAGTGGTGCTATTGTCACTGGGCCACGAAAGCATCACATTCCTTCAGTTAACATTTTTCATCCATAGCGTGAACTTTTGGTCATATACGATTTCTCATCATGACCTGTGTGGTCGAGGACCAGGGAGATACTTGAAGATATCTGCAGATGGAAAAAAGCCCTACTCCACAATGATTCTTAGCTACCAAAATTGTTTAAATTGGGGAGGGGCTCAGGCCTGTAGAGCCGCAAACCAAGCCTCCTCTTATGTTACATTCACTGGCCCATACCATTGCCATTGTCCCCCAAGATGAGAACCTGTCCAAAGATGGTGATATCCATGTCAAACCAGGACACTTCATGCTCCACTGAATTTTTTTTTAGTAGTAAAAGCCAAGTAGTAAAAGCCAAAAAAAGCTTTAGACATTTAGTAACAAGATGGGGGAATAAAAATAAAACTGTCCTGAGGTTGATGGCAAGTCCAGGAACAGTAATTATAAGGACTGTCAGCAATTAACGGGTGAATCTACTTCAGGGTTAATTAGTAGGAGGGGTCGGCCTGACCCCGGGCTCATACCTTCCCCCCCAGCAGCGGCAGCACGTGCATCTTGCCCACTTGGCTGTCCTTGACGGAGGAGACGATGAGGCAGGTGCCGCACAGGATGACTTGTCGCCGGGTCCAGCGGTTCACCGGCAGCTGCATCTTGCCCTTGCGTACGGTGTAGGTCCCCGACAGCTGGACGCGCTCCGAGCTCTCCACACCGTTAGGCTTCCCTGCGGGGGCGACAGGGGAGCGCAGGCGGCTTCAGGCAGATGGAAAGATCCGGTAAAACCTGGCTGCAATGCAACACACTGCAGTAAAGGTGCACGTCTAACAGAGATTCGTGAAACACGAAAACAAGAGCCATCTTGAGGGGAGCCCAAAAATGTAAGACGACGACAACGCCCACAGAGGGTGTTCTTAAGGTTAAAGTCACCTCAGATCAGACTGTCGGGTGCCCACATGTTCTGTATGACTCATTATCTATGAGCCGCAAACCAGCATACCGATTGGCTGCCGCCGATTACTGAGCCCCCAGGACGGGGGAGGGTTCCAGCTCATCGGAACAACCACCTCAGCAGGGGTGGGAAGCTTACTGCCGCTCGACAGAACACCTCAAATGGGAGCGGCTGGGCTGGGCTCTCGACAGCCACTGCAGGCAGCTGGTTTCTGAGAAAGCGGGCTGAGAAGCGCCGTCACGTGCTTCCTGCATCCACACAGACGCCGGCCTCGCGGGCACCCTGCCCCTCCGCACAAGCCGGACGCGTTACATCGCCATGGCGGGCACGCTTATTTATTTATTCACCTGTGACATTGGGGACGCTGGCTTACTTGTAAACATGGAGTCACTGACCTTACAGGAATTGACAGCCTCAGGGAGGGGGGGCTTATATGAAAAAAACAGTTTTCGCTGAGCTGGGACCTCAGGAGACCAATGGCTTCAGAGCAATGCTTGTGACAACCACTAAGGTTTCATACACATGCACACAGATTAGCTAATCATTCATTTCTATGGGGAAAACCCTAATCCCAACATGATGACCTTAAACCCTACCCAGCCCTAACCTTAACCACGAGTAACCAACCAATTTTTCGATTGCCGTCACAGATTTTTTACAAAATTTAGTTTCCCGTTGTGGGGACCAAAAAACACATCCCGACAAGGTCAAAAAACAACAGGTTTTTAATCACATTGTGGGGTCCCCACAATGGAATAATGACAAAAACGCTGACACACACAGACACATCACTCACAAAGCAGTGATGTTTCATAAGAAATGGAAAGAGGTTAGACACATCTGAAAAGTTCAACCGAAATGTGCCAGGGCTATTTTTAGATTGACCAAAAGGACAAAAACCACAGCAGATTCTTGTCACTTGGTCCCTTCTGGGTTTTACGGAAGTTATTAATCTCGAGCCTGCTACGTCGATTAATAGTGCAGCTGTCCGGGGAACACTGCAAAAGGGGAAGCGAGAAAGAAGAGTGGCACGATGAAGAAAACGCTACAACGCTGATGTTTATTTAAAAAGGTCCCGCAATGGCAATGATCGTACGGTGCCCCTCACGTGCATCACGCTGCACTGCAGAAGTGAAACTCCGCTCTGGGCAGGATCCTCGCATTTGCCTGTTTCATGCCTGCTCAGGAAAAAAAAAAACACCAGAGTCGTGTGTGTAAACTGGCAGGCTGGACAGCTCTGGCAATCCGGCGAATACGGGGAGGGTTCTCATGACATGTTGACAGTCTAACTGAATTCATCATCACCTCCAAAAACCAGAATAGGAATTGCATCCCAGGCCTCAGGAGGTATCCCGCATTCAATCCCTCAGGAGAGGTCAGAGCAAAGTCAAACTATTGTCGGATATTTCATTTAACAGGTCCAGCAGCGGACGTGCAGGTAGATCCTTCGCTTTTCCAGCATGTGCCAGACACTGGATGAAGCATTGTATAAGGCATTTTATATGGCATCTTAGCAAATACTTTGACATGTTTTGTACGATTATTTTATTTCTATTTTATTTTAGCTTTATCTTTTTTATATTTATTTATTAATGCACCTTAGGATCGTCATAAAAGTAATTCCATTGTGTTACACAATGACAAAGTGCTTTTATAAGCAGCTGATTCCCTCAGTCAGCACTGAAGCAAGGCGCCGAGCTGCTAGTGCCAGATAAGCACTGTAAACACGGCCTGTTTGGTGAACGTACACGTAGGTCACATACAGAGCGCCGGCTCACCTTGAGTTTATGGGATGCGCTGGTACTGTTACTGTTTACGTGCCCTGTACAGACACGCAGAGAGATGGGAAAAGACAAACACGCACTCAGCGGAGGTCCCGGGCAGAATCGATACCCTTCAGTTTCACTCCGACATGTTTCTATGCCAGTGTACAGTTTGGGGGCGGAGCTTATATGCTTCAGGTTGGGGGGGGGCACCCGCCTGACAAAAGTGTGAATTCTTTTTCCTGTTCCTGCCCCCCACCCCCTCTCCAGGAAAGGCGGTGACCCCCTGGCTACTGTTGCTTCCCATGGTCACGCAGGCGTTGCCCCCAACCTACAAACAAAAAAAACAAACACCCCTAGCTTATGGCTATGATCTGGACCAATCAACTGTGGAGATGACATGTGTGGGGCGGAGTGAGGGGGTCTTTGCTGCATGCCTGCTCGTCTCTTCTGGACCTCACAGATCCACTCGACTCTCACGAGACCGACCGACACACTGCGCGGCGAAAACCCACAACGCTGCGAACTGCAGCCAAGTTCCATGCAGCTCTCTCCATGGCAACAGGCGATACTGAGATAAAAAATAAAAAAAACCCTAAAAACGTGCTGCTTCACCCGCACCCACGCAAAGACAAACCATGCCGTCCTTCTTCCGATAAGTCTGGGGGGGGGGGGGAGCTTGGTGGTTATTCTTAGAATGAACACTGCCAGCAAGATTGGCGGTCCGTGAGAGTCAGAAACGTGCCTCTGTACTCTGACGTATCTAAGCTTCGTCACGACTTGCGTCCTGCTAACGGGGAACTCAGGGCGTGAGGTCAGAGCTCAGCTGCAGGGATTTGCAAAGACATGGACGGGGGCTGTTGGCACTCAAGCTTGCCTCATGCCAACACATGGACTTTGACTGGTACTGCCCTATGCACTGAACTGCCAACCCTCTCCAGAAGAGTGACCAGGGCGTCAATCATCATGAAGGGCACCTCTCCTCTCAGGGAACCTACCCATAGTCAAGCGAAGACCAGTCCTTCACTCCGCCCCCGCCCCCCACAGCTCCTATGGAGGCCCCATGAGGACAATCTGAACTGACAGGCCTGTAGGAGCCGTTAAGGCACTGGGCCTTCCATTATTAGCCCCGCCTGCCCGTGGGTCGAGATCAGGCACGGTGCCTAATTCAGCACAACGACCAGAATGGCCAGGGGGGGGGGGGGGGGACTGCACGTACTCCCTCCTCACACACCAATGAAAACTAATGCGACAGTACTTCCTAAAAACTGTGTTCCGACAGGATTCGTCAGGTTATTGCTAAGCAGAATTATTTCTAAACCCAGCGAGTAGGGATTGCTGTGCCGCTCCCAACTATTCCGCTTACAGTCCTGTGGAATTTTTCAGGCACATAATTAAGACAATTTCCCTGCTTGCGAAAAGGCTGCCGGGGCCCTTTAATCCGCAGCTGCAGGAGGCCCTCAGGCGGACAGCCAGCTCAGAGCCCCTAACCAGATTCTACTTCGGGGTCTTTGTGTGGAATGTTTTTGTTTGGACTTTTTAAGGGAGGGGGTGATGGGAGAACATTTGAGAGGATGGGCTGGGGAGGGGCCCTTCGACTATAGCCCAACTTTACATTGTGATTTCCCTCGCCACACCCCTGTTCCCTGTCCCAATCCCCTCTCTGCGTAGAATGACTCTCAAGGCGGGGGCCTTGTTCAGATTCCTTCAGAGATGCTGGTTACATCACATCCATCTCCGGCATCCTGCCCCTGATCCTATTCCTTGAGGGGCCCCCTGGTCTCGGCCCTAAAGCCCTCACGGGCCCTATTCAGATGCTAATCGCGGCACAAAAGGGACGGACGGATCCAAAACGAGCCCAGTGCCGGAGTACAAGGGCTGGGGGGGCGGGGCGCGGCGGCCCCGGCGGCGTGCTAATTACGTGCCCCGCTTTTGGCGCTACGGCAAGTGAGAAGAGTCATCATGGGGGTCATGTGATGAGTGGGGCCTCTCTGCTCAATACAATTAAAAGGACATCCACTATCACCACAAAAATTCTTCTAGAATCATCCTTCCATTTGCACTCTCCACGATCCTAAGAGACTCCATCCCAACTGAGATGAGCACCAACACACTGCCACCAGCGCCCCCTCCCCCCCCGATAACCTTAATTAGCAGTATGAGGCGCAAAACAGTCTAGCTGCAAACACGCGTCTAAAGTTATAGAAGAGGTTCCTGTCCAGTGGGTCGGCAGACTCAGGCCCCAGCAGCCGCCTGGATCATACAGGGTCTACAAGCAATTTAAGCGACTGGAGCAAAGAAATCACGCGGTACGGCTTGCTGGAACAAACTGGCACATCTGCGTTCCGCAGCCAAACACAGGAAACATGCTCGCACACGCAGACACACACACGCACACACGCACACACACACACACACACACACACAGATGTCACCCCATCTTTAATTCTGACCCTAGCCCCCTCCCGCCACCCCCAACATAAACACGCAACTTTCCCACCACCATCCCCTGCTTTGGGGGCGAGAAAGGGGCCTGCTGTCACATCTAGACAAAGCTTGTCGTCTGAGCCCTGCTGGGCAACGATTAAGGGCCTCGGGGGATGGGGTGGGGGGGGTGGGGCTCTGTCACAGTGGAGAGGAGAGGCAGACGCTGCTCCCTCAGGGACCAGGCTCGGCAACAAGCACAGCTGTACGCTGCTCTCAAGCAGAAATGGGGGTAGCGAGAGTAAGTGTCTTGATCACCATCACCATTATTGGTCATTATCCAATAGAGACAATCAATTGCCCTTCTGGTCACTTAAGGCCCTGTTACACTGCCATATAAGGCAGAGAGGCCTTTTCAGCATCTACTTTGCAAAAATGAAGTAGCATTCATACAAATGAAGTAGCATTCATACAAACATCCATCCATCCAACCATCTGAATGTTTCTGCATGTTCATAAAATAGCGGAGAGCATTATGAGTAATTGTATTCCACCCCCCCCCCCCAACAGGGCTGCGGTAGCTCAACC